ACAAGCGATCTTTTGACGACGATTAGCTTCAATAGCCTGTGTGGCAGTGCGGGTTAAGCATAATTTGGGCTTTTCCCTTTCTCCTAAACCACATCACACGTAAGACCAGGCCAGGTATATTAGAAATGGGTTACGTCGCAGGGGTTAACTGGCCAACTGGCCGATTCCTGTCAAGTCAAATGACAAATAAGAATTCGCCGGTGTTGAACAGACATACCAGTTACTCTCACCTGGTATCGCGGTTACTGGGGTGTGGTGGCCGTGTGCAACACAGCCTTACGGAGTGACACATGAGGCCACGGGACTGATCGGTATCAGACTGAAATGGCATGAGCATGAGGTGCGTCTTTCAACCAAGAAAGTAAACATTTCCCTGAGCACTCTAAAATACTGTCAAAACTGGTAGTGCAAACCACTGTTCCTCTATCGTAAGACAGTCCCCAAGACTTAAATGGATATTTTGAAAATAGCACTATGTACGATGCTCTTACGTTAAAGTGCCTCCAATAGAAAAAAAACGGATACACGTTCTCTACGTTGATTTTTTGTCAAAGGAAGTTTCGTGAACATAGAGAAAAAGAAGTACCATGATGGGTTGCAGAAGCGACGAGCCAGGCAATGCCCCGACGAGTTCACCATTGCGGCAAAAAACGATGACTCCGATAACTACAGAAGATGCGCTCTAGGAAGTTATCATACGTAGCTGAAAAAAATCTAAAACATGTTGGGTCGTGTTGAAGTATAATTAAAGGAGAAACCTTAGATGGCAGATACACGTCCAGATCTGAACGACGAAACAGTGGACAATTTAGATAGCTAACAGCTAGAAACCAAGCCCCTAGCTCTTCTTTGAACGTCTCCACTGCGATACTGTGAAGACATGTCACCCCGTTTACTTTTATCCCTGAAACAAAGCCATAGATTATGGGCCCGCTTAGTAAGAGGAACACAGGAAGGAATACAAGTTAACTAGTGGGGAAGTTTAGGTAAGAACGAAGGTTGACGGACATATATCCTCTAAATATCAACATCTGACAGGGGAGAGAGAGGTAATGCCTACCTGCTCCCGACTCTCCAACTAAAGCAACCACGTTGGCGCCAGGGATCTCAAAGTCAAGGTTCTCGAAAATCATTGCAGTGGGCCGACTGGGATAGGCAAAACTGACATTCTCAAACTTGATAGTGGGTGCGGTCAGAGGTTCGAGTGGGGAGCTGGGTAGTTTTGGCAGGTCTGAGATGCCCTCAACGAAGGAGCGAGCCTCGTCGGGACCGGGTAGGGAGAGCACCTACAAAGGCGAGATTGCAAAAGGGAGCGCGTAAGGTTGAGTGCTAGGTTGCTAGGTCTCAAATAGGTAACCAAAGATCAATGGGTGAAGCCACAAGAGTTAGACGAGGATGCACTCAACAGCCAGGGAGGCTTAGTGTAGAAGCAGGACAAGATAACTCTAAAAATGGAACCACCAAATTAAAAAACACAAATAATAGGCAAGCAGGACACAAACACAACTCAGTCTGCTATTCTGCATGCTCACTGAATATGACAACGTATTTAACCGTTCACTATTCACTTGGCGGTCAAAATTAGTATGAGGGATGTAGTCAGACAGCGGAGCAGTGAGGTTTCTGTCAGGTAGAAAGTCTTCGGCGGTTTGCTTCTCAATTCTAAGTAAACATACCTACAGCATACCTACAGTTATTAGGTAATCCTACTCCTCACACGGCGGACTCGTGGCTCAAGGGTTAGAGCGTTCGCCTCTAGCCGGAGGGACTCGAGTTGGAAACTCAAGCGTGGCGGCAATTTCCGCTGCTACACTGGAGTTGACCTCCTTTCACCTGATGAGGCCCAAATAGGCCGAAAAGCTTCGTGAAATGGTCTGTGTTGTCGGTAAAATAACATACCTACAGTTTTAAACAGCATCCTAACATCCAAAAGTCATAACGTCTCGTCAGTCGTAGGGAAAAGCGACAGGAGGGGGATAATGTTGTTACGAGGATCAGATAGGATTCCCTTTTTTATTCTGTAAACTGGAGTAATGTTTATCCGCGTGCTCGCGATATGATATAGTATCACATCCAGACAGTCCAAACGCTGGATAGTCTGGAGCGGGTCATCACAGCTAGTGATTAAATGCAGACTGCAGTTTCGTGACTGAAGACTTAAACTGCATTTGTTTGCTGTAAGGACGTCTGCGTCGTAGAGCTTATTCGTATCGACTGGGTCGCGGCTCGTGACTATGTGTCGTTTCTCCCCATTGTTGCGTGTCCGATCAACGCTTTCTGGGGGGAACTTTCCACTTAACCGGCGCAATTTTTATTCCGTGCTGCAAAGGCTCCCTACGAATACTGTTGTGACAATGATAGGTGAGTTCTCATCGATCGGTTGCCATACTCACTCGTCCTGTTGTACCCTGAGGACTCGCTCTCGAGCCCCGCCAACAGCAGAGCAGCAACTAATGGGTTAGAGCATTTGTCTTCTAATCAACAGGCTGTGGGTTCGAGCCTCGGGTGATAGGGCACCTGGGATTGGGTATGGCTGGCTGATGGCGGCTAATAAGCCAGAAATGGCCACTCCAGTTTCCCTTGCCCTTGTCGGAAATGTCTTTCTGCCTTTAACTGTTGTGACAATGGGCCTTTCGGTATAATCGTTTAGGAACACAAAAACGCCTTCTTTGCGGCTAGATGTTTCGTATCCCCATTCTTTTTACCGGCTGAAGAAACAATGTGATTACCTACATGTCCTGGGCATCCAATCAAGTTTAGACCAGCAAGTCATTTCGCAGGAAGTTGAGGACATTTTTTCTCAAGTTTTCAAG